CAGATTTTATCTTCTCACGGTGTGTAGGTATTAAGCCAAATGAGCAAAAGGATGTCCAGTCTGGTGGCACAAAGGAAATTTCCTGTGTAAGGAATAACATTTTGCGTAACATAAGCGAAGAGAGAGAAGGAGAGAGAAAAAAAACATAGATTTCAACAGAATGCGTTCAGAAAAAAATCGCAAATAATTCGTGTACTTTCGGCATAAAAGTATATATAAGTTATTGACATTCTTTTAGTATAGGGGGGTAGCACATATTCATTAGATAAAAAGGTAGTATCGGAATCTGTCTTTCCAGTATAACCAGATATTCAGCTGAAATGTGTATTGATAGACCATTCAAAAGACCTTTATATACAGTTTTCTTTTTAACGTAAAGACATTTTTCCTGCCCTTTTTAAACATGCGCAAAAGCTTGTAGAAAAAATCCCTATATGGCTATATCAGCACATACGAAATATTGATACAAGCTTGAATTTTAGGCATGATTGTTGCAGGTCAACATTTACAGGGGAAAAAAATATGATAATCTAATACGAAGTTACCTCTCAAGAAGAAGGAGGGGAGCACCCACGGACCATAGCCAGGAGGCGTTGACGTGCCTGAACATACTTTTATTATTTTTTAAAAATAAATCTCGTTTTTACTAAAGTGCGAGGATGTTAACTCGTTTTAGTAAACCCCGCCACTCTTCTAAGCATAGAGCACCATCTTTAAAGAAAAATAGATGAGAACTTGAAAAGGAATGAAAAACGTAATTATACCAAAGCTTTGGCTGCTTTCTTTTAATTTGTATTTTTTAAAAATCAATTTATTTTTATTTTTAAGTAGTTTCTTTTTTATGGCTTTTATATTAAAGTAATACGTATTTAAAATCAGTCATAAGTCTTTTTCATTAAAAGAATCTATTAAGAAACTTTGATAAACATTTATACCTTGCTACCTGTGTTTCTTAGAACACTTGTGTCTGATTAGGTGTTTCCCACTTTTTGACGCCAGTTGCTGTAGACTGAGGCAGGGGGCACCATAGGTTCGCGGCCCTTCCCCTTTTTTATCTTGAGGATTTCTTTTATTGGTGATATTCTGCTGCACGCAAGGTAAAGTGGTCGTGAGAAATGTGCTTTTAAGTGGCAAAGTATTAATCTAGAGGCTTATACATGCTCGGGCTATGAACCAAAGGCTGGTGCTCTTTTATCATTCATGTGATTTTCCTTTTGAAGTCAAGTGTGCGGATTCTATGTTTGTGTTTTTTTTTTCTTTTTGTATGTTAAGTTCTTTTGAACGTTTTTAAGTTTTAAAGTTCTCTTTTTAAAAGAGACCAGTCTCCGTCCCTTCAGTTTCTGTGTAATTTTGTTTTATATTTATTTTTTTTTTTATCGCCTTATAATAAAATAATTTAGAATCATCTGTCATTTTCTTTTTTCAAAACTCGTGCAAGTTTTTTAAGGTTGATGTGTCTGGAAGAGAAAATGCATTAATGTAAAGTTGATTTACTTGGAAGAGAATATTAAGTTGCTTGCTAATTTACCTGGGAATATCTACTAAAAAGATGCCTTGTCCGAAATCCTTTACACGTGGTAGAATTCCCGTGCTCGTCCTCCCATCTCTGGTTACGTTTACCTTGTCTTGCTGGTTCATACACTTTACACTACATACATCACACCATTCGTACACAATCTTTCCCTCTTTTATACACGTCTCTCACACATTGCCTTCTCCCAATTAACACGCCGTTTCCGTATGTACTAACGTGGTGCCAGTGAGCGCTACTATGTACACTTCGGCACATTAAGGCGTGGTAATAGTATAAGAATAGTAAAGTTCCGTCCACTACAGTCCCTTTGCGCTGGATCGAAGGATGATGGCGTGTTATCGAGCAAGGGACTCTTCCCTTCCCGTGGCCTGCATGTTGTAAAAGGTTCAGCTGATGATATTTGGTCTTCTTTCAGTGATGGCCCTGTGGTTCCTCAGGGGAAAATTTACTGAGAGTCGTAGTAAAAGTTTATAAAAGTGCATAAGTATATTCTTTTGCTACAATAAAGACATTATTGTTGCCGTCGAACGGTTTGTCTTCCCAGATTTGCTACATTTCTTTTTTTTTTTTTACTCAACAACTAAAAGTCAATTTACGTGAGCAGAAATTTAAAGTAATAACAGGACTTGTCACATCAACCGTTGCCGTCTGTGCTACCTGGCTAACGCAATCTGGATCACATTCACTGTTGTGAGCCAGTTAGAGCTAAAGTCGATTCATGTGTAAAATTTAGGTGTCCCTGAGAAGTGTCCAAAGGTAGATAGCATATTATTTGTTCTATGTATGGAGTTTGTTCCTTTAATCGAATTGAATTGCTTTCGATTAGCCGCTGAATATGCAGATTTCAAACAGTATAAAACATACATTCCATATGGCTCTAATGTTCAGGCATTGTTGCCTGAATTGGGCTTGAAGTCCATGTATTCATTTTGTGACTTCCTGTAATTTCTTTCCGTTTACATTTTC